ACACACACACACACACACGCACGCACGCACGCACGCACACACACACACACACACACACACACACCTGTGATATATGCTGTGATATATACTGTGATTACGTATGTGTCCACGCATGATAAATTAGACATCAAATTGAAATACAAGCGATGACGTTGTTTACACTGAGGGAGTAAAGGTCGTTCGCACATCGCCTATTTACTCTGCGCACGTTGAGAAAACTTCTTTACCTTTTTACTTTACTTTTTTTAGTGGGGCATCACTGCTCTTATATATGCCACATGGAGTAAACGACCACCTCCCGTAAAAAAATCAAAATAGTACAAAATTAATTAAAACTGGATTGAAATATTAAATGTGCAAACATGTCCGCACGGCAGCAAGTTTGTTTGTATGCATGACACACAGATAGCATCTACAAACACACGCGCGCGCACGCACGCACACGGCGGTTTTGTTCTAGCGCGAAATGTTCGCTTTTGAAATTGTTTTAAACACAAGTACGAATCTTCGATGTTGATGCCCCGCAATTGCGGTTTGGATCTACTGTTTATTACTCGTCACTAGACGAATATTAGTTAGGGTTGGTAAAACTATAGGCGCATTTTTATTATTACAAATAACTCGTATAATTATAAATGTCCCGTTGCGGCGTAGGTCCTACACATGCTCTCAAATATATCATTTGCTAGTGGTGTTCGTTCTAGCTACCCCTAAAGCATATATACGCAAGTAATTTTTTGTTTTCTTATAAATTTATTTGGCCATATATATCCGTTTCTGCGGACAAGCAAACCAGAGGCGAGTACCGTATATTTTACTTTGTGAATCCATGTTTGAAGGGATATTGCTTCGATTAATTAGCATCGAACGACTGTATTATGAATTATTATTATTGTTAGTATAAATAGTATAAACAATAATAAATATAGCGCGGTTCTATCAATCATAAATGGTTTGCACGAAAATGACTGTATAAGTATTTCTATCTCGTTTATAAATGCTCCACGTTAAAATCTATGCTCGGCAATGACATATTTGTTGACTTTTCTTGCTGTTAAACGAAAACGTAACACACACATCAGATCTGAACAACTCAGAACTTGTAAGTTTAGGCATGTGCGTAACATGTTGGAATAGGACCGGGCAGTCCCGTGTTCAATTCTTGTGAGGTAACTTCTTAGAATATTTTCAAATTCTTGTTGAGTAAAATGTAACACATAGTTTCGTTCTGAAAATATAAGGAATGGTGTGTTTGGGTGCTAGCGTAGCGTGCTGGGCTGGTACTCAATAATCCGGGGTTCAAATCTTGTCAACTACGGTAAGATATTTTCGAGATGTTGTTAGGCGAAATATAAACACAACTTGACCATGACCATGACTTCAATCGAGTCAACTTGACCGTGACCATGACTTCAATCGAGTGATGTAAACATTTTGAAAATGGCTCAAGGATATGTCCTTGAGCTCAAGGCTGTGGCCTTGGCCTAGTCATGTAGAAATTTTAAAATTGGAAAATGCAATGGCCTTGAGCCCAAGGCCATGGCCTTGAACTCAAGGCCACCGAAAATCTTAAAATTGCAAAATGTAATGGCCTTGAGCTCAAGGCCATAACCTTGAACTCAAGGCCACGGAAACTGTTAGAAATTGGAAAATTGGTCGAGGCCACGGTCAACGACAATGTCACGGTCAAGGTCCACACAGAAACAACAACAACAACTCCTGCATTCTACTCTGCTCTACTGCACTGTACTCTACTGCTCTGCTGCTCTATTGAACTGTACTCTACTCTACTATACTGCACTGTACTCTACTATGCTGATCTACTGCTCTACTATACTGCTCTAGCTGTTGCTCTACTTCGCGGGACTCTACTGCTCTGTTGCTCTACTGCTCTGTTGCTCTACTGCACTGGACTCTACTGCTCTGTTGCTCTAATGCACTGGACTCTACTGCTCTGTTGCTCTACTACACTGGACTCTACTGCTCTGTTGCTCTACTGCACTGAACTCTACTGCTCTGTTGCTCTAATGCACTGGACTCTACTGCTCTGTTGCTCTAATGCACTGAACTCTACTGCTATCTCCACCCCAGCCCGCTCCTGTCCACTACCCTCACCCCAGCCGCCCTGTCCCTCCTGCCACCCACAGCCCGCGCCTGTCTACCTGACACCCAGCCCGCCCTGTCCCTACCCTCACACCCAGCCGCCCTACGCTCCCCCCCCCAGCCCGCGCCTGTCCCTCTCCCACACAGCCGCTGCCAACGCCCGCCCTGTCCTCGCCCAAACCCAGCCGCGCCTTGTCCCTGCCCCCACCCCAGCCCGCCCTGTCCGCTCCCCAGCCCAGCCCTTCCATCCCACTTGCGTACTACCAATTCAACAGTAGGCGCGATCAAGGGTGGGGGTCCAGGGGTCGCGATATACCCCTATAACTATTGTAAATCATATTCTTCACACCAGTGAAAATAAATAACTCCTGTGGTGAGATATTGCGCATGCGCGCAAACACATAAACGGTAGCCAGATTGTGTACTGCCTGTGTATACAGCAGCGGGGACTCTACATGGCAAGTTCTTCCCTCCTATTTCATACAATGATCGTCTACTGATTGGAATGTTATCATATTAAATCATGGCTAGGAATACATCTCCTCTTCATTTTAAATGAATAATGCTTTGGCAAATACGATTTCTACTCGAGAGATATAGCGCATGCAGCGCGCACGACGGTGTTAGGCGTGCACGTGCCCGATCTGATGCAACTTCATATATATGCTTGCTGAAGGGGGAGGGGGATGGGAGACTGAGGAAAGGCGGCAGGGAGATAGCTGGGGGGGCGCGTAGAAGAAGAAGGAGGCTGAGCGAGGCGAAGGGAGGGCAAACGGGCAGGACGCGAGGGCATAAAGTAGGTGTTTTGTAACCCTACATGCTAGGCGCTTCTCCTACATTATAAACACAGGTTGACTGATCAAAGTTTTATTAGGGAAATCGTATGCTGAATACCCCCTAACCAATGTTAAAATGCTATTCATCACAAAAATAACTCGCTACTGGTGAGATATTGGCGCATGCGGCTAACACAACTAACGTAACCAGATTGTGTACTAGCTGGTATCGCAGCGGGGACCTTACTGGCAAGGTCTTTCCTCCATATTTTCGTTATGTAATGTCCTAAGAATGGAATGTTATGCATATAAATCTATGCTAGGATACTCTCTTATTTAAATGCATAATCCTTGCAAACATACGATTTCTGTTGGGAGATATTGCGGCATGCGCGCGCACCGTGGTTAGGGCGTGCAGTGGCCGTCTAGGCAAACTTCATAATATACTTGCCTGAGGGGGAGTAGGGGATGGGAGACTGAGGCCAAACCCCCTAGAAATTTTCAGGGCCATGGTAATATTTACCTAACACCCTCCAACCTCTGGCGTGCTCGTGCCCTTTACTTCGTAACATGGATTCGGCCCCCCCCCCACCCTTGAATTCCAAACTTCTGGATCCGCTCAACTGCCTAACCCCCTGAAGCACGAGAATTACACACGCATTATATGAACAAATAAGAATTAAATACGGCATTATAATTTCATAGTATCAACGAACAAAAGCCGGTGGAGTTTAGATTTTAATTATTTTCGCAGGCGACCATAGAATATATTAGCGAGAGAAAGAGGAGGAGGTAAGGAGCGAGAGAGAGGAGAAAGAAGAGGAGGTAGAGCGAGAGAGAAAGAGAGAGGGGTAGAGCGAGAGAGAGAGAGAGAGAGAGAACAAGAGAGAAAGAGTGCCAGAGACAGTGACGACGTGCGAGAGCGATGCGAGGCGAAAGAGAGAGAGAGAGTCTGAGAACGAGGCAAAGCGACAGAGAGAGAGAGAGAGAGAGAGAGAGAGCGAGAGGAGAGAGAGAGAGAGAGCGCGCGTGAAAGAGCGATAAAAGATATGTAGACAGAATATAGAGAATGTCACACCTAAGAATAACAGCGGCGCAACGCATGCACACACAGAAGGCGAACAGGATAAGAGCGGAGAAAAAGAAAAGGAGTGAGAGAGAAAGAGAAGGAAGCGAGAGGGGCGGAGACAGAGGAAAGTAGGAACGGCAGCGGAGAGGCGAGGAAAGGCAGAGCGGAGAGAGAGTAGGGCAATCGAGAAGACAGAGGAAGGCAGAGAAAGAAACAGAGAAAAGGCAGAGAAGAGAGGGGAGATAGAAGGTAGAGAGAGAGAGAGGAAAGGCAGCGAAGCGAGAGAAGGCAGATGGGAGAGACAGAGAGAGAGGAAAACGCAGGGAGGAGCGAGAGAGCGAGAGAAGGCACGGAACGCGACAACTTTGTGTTTTAGAATCTACCTAATTCTTATGAATTGTATGGTTACAAGTATTGGTGTATCAGACAAACGGAGAGCATTATGAATGAATCGACTTGACTTCGTCACGGTCGTGGCCGTGACGGGCCTTCTCTCTCGCGTGATTATATCACGTCAGTATAACACGTGGGCCCACAGTCGCCGCCACGTTCTCTGCTGTGTTTTTGTCCCCCCCGGCAAAACCGAAATTCCCGAAGCTGTGACATATTCGAATGCGCATAATTACAGCTAACGCTGAGTAAATAAATATAACAGAAATTCTTGCTCAACTGAAAGCTTCCGTAGCTGTTATAATTTCGTGCTTAACTCTGTTGTCACTCTTTAATTAACAGGCATATAAATGGATTGAATCAAT